TGCAGATGACACTGGGTTGAGAAGAGACTCCAAAGGGTGAGACTCAGAGTGAAGAAGCTTCAGGAACACCTGATCCGACATGTTCACCTGTATTTTCTCTATACGCAGGCATAGCAATAAAATACGACAAAAACTCGTCTAATTAAGTTTAAAGGGGTTCTTTTAATTGGTATTAAACAAAGATTCAAAGGGATAGAAGGCACTGTGCCATGGCTTGATTAAAAGCCTTTTTTAATTTCTTGGCTTTACATAAAACAATGGTGTGTCTTACAATCAGCAATATAAGTAGGTGAGCCATGGAATCTGTTTGGGGAGAAAAAAAAATTAAACCAAGACTACAAAGCCATCTTTAACCTCCAATATCCCCCCACAGGTTCAGTCATTGACTTAATTTCCCTGTATTTAATGGCTTTGCCTATTTTCAGGCCTGACTGGCATTTCAGGCTCCCCAGGGAGAAGGTAGCAAAACTATGCACTTCTGAAGGATGGTAGTTCTCAAAGGTTATGTTCGGACTAGCAGAACCAGCTGAGAACTTGTTAGAATGTATTAGAAATGCATTTTCTTGGGACTAGCAGTTGGCGTAATGGCTATGTTACTGGACTCCCAAGTGGTTGACCAGGGTTCGAGTCCCATCCCAGTGGCTTAAACTCATGCTGAGTGCGTATGCGTGCATGCCCAAGATCCCAAGAAGAGAATGGAGGAGAAGGGATTGCAGTGTGGCCATCACACTGTGTGTGTGTGTGTGTGTGTGTGTGTGTGTGTGTGTGATTTCTTGCTTTCTGTCTCTCTGTCTTTCTCTATCTGGCGAGTACACGTGCCCTATAGCAAAAGCCTCTCGTTTTCTCAGCGCCCCCTCCCAACACCTACTAAATCAGAAGCTGGGTGGGGCATGGGAAAGGGTGTTCTGAAGTCCCACAGGTGATCTGAGAAGCACTGCTCTGGGAAAAATAGCACCATCTACCATCAGCTTGATCTCTCAATCTCACAACTCATTGACGTTTAAGGAAACACCCTGCGAATCAATCCAGCAGCAGGCACTGTGCTAGGGCCCAATGCTGACTCAAACCACACTGTCAATGACTAAATACTGGTCATCGGAAAAATCATGATGTATTTTTCTCTGCAAAAATGTGTCATGACATTTCCAACAACCTAATAAAATGTAAAATATAATTGCATAAAGCTGACAAAGGTGTCACTAACATACCTTGTTCAGAGGATGGAGGATTGATTCTGGTTAGGAAGTCCCAGTGGGCTTCTCAGAGGTGGCAGCAGGGCAGCTGGATCTTACAGAATGGGAAGAGTTTAGGCAGGTTTTCCTATGACAGAGGAGACTCTCCTGCTAAGGAATTACCAAAAGCAGAGGACACAAGTAGCTTCACAGAGCCAAGAGCACAAGGAGCCATCACTCAGAACTTGATTAATTCCATGGGCCCTTTCCTTTTTAACTTCTCATGATGGATTCCACCTGTAATGAGGACTGCCAACCTGCCACCCTATATCCATCCTCCCTTCTCTGCTAAAAGTTCAGGAGAGCAAAGCAGCCAGAAAAAGACGACATCCCCAGCCTAAACGGCAGAATGGCTGTGGGCCTTCAGGAAGGCCACTCAACCGCACTCTGTCTACTGACTGAGGCATGTTCGTGTGAGGCCTTCTCCCCTGCTGCATCTCGGCTATTAGCTGACAATAAGGATATTGATGCTCTGGCTCCATATGCTGGATACCGAGGTGCCTTAACCTAGAGCTGAGGGTGGCAAAGCAGAAAAGATTCTAATGACACTATTAAACCACCACACCAGGCTGTGCTACCAAGCTCTTCTCTGATTTAAGACAGTGTATCTGGCGACTTGTCACATGCTGCTGAGCCTGACTGCAATGGACACACCATTCTATTTCCATCACCTTGTCATCTGCAGAGCTCTAAGGTGAGCCGAGATTTCAGGACATGTGCATTCCCCTGACATTTGAGAAATGCTGCCATCAACACCGTCCTGCCCACCTGCAGCCGCTCACCTCCAGATGCGGATGCGGAAGTCCACTCTCTGGCTATACCTTCCTAACTTTTCAGGTCGCTTATTCCTGACCAACTTTACCTACAACATAAAAAGGAGCCTACACTACCCTGCGTGGCTACTCACTCTTCCCTGAACAAAAATAATTACCTTCACACCACCTTGCCTTTGTTTTCATTACTCCCTCTGCCTGGAATGCCCTCAAAGCCTGAGTATCTGTGGATCTCCTGCTCCTCCTTTAGTGCCAACTCAGACCCCACTTCTAGACAATACGCATCTGATCTGAGAACAGGGACTGCAGGTTCTCCATAGGAAAGGTAGTATGGTGGCCACTCAGTGTGAACCTAAACTTGGTAGGCAGTTTCTTCATCTGTAAAACTCAGGGCATGGTGCCTACACTACACAGGGCTGTTTTAAGAAATGAAGAAGGTAACATTAAAGCACCTGGAGCACAGTGCAGCACATGTTACATGCTTAGCACATAATAACCACTTTATGAGTGCCAGATATTAATTCTATACACTAGGATTGAGCATGGGAATAGACACAGTGGGCACTCAATTGCATTTACTGCATCTAACTTGGGCTGACCTCTGGGCCTTCACGTTTTACTGGGCTCATGAGTCCACCACACTCACACTTCTCCATAGCCCAGCAAAGAGCCTGAATCTAGCCCCCAACAGGGACATTATTTAGATGAAAGAACATTTTCCACAGCCATCCTAGTCATCAGGGCCTCGCCAAGAAAGAGAAAAGAAAAGCAATATAAATGTTAATAGGAAATTGTCTATTCACTTTTACTTAAGCTAATCTACTGCAGTCCAACAAAGAGGGAATTAGACAGCTGAAGGGCCAGGAAAACATGGGACCTTGACAAGCTGAAGCCCAAAGCTCTGCAGTGCCCAGAAGGAAATGCAATTCCAGGCCAATGGGCTACATGAAAATCAGGACAAAAGGCTTCTCCTTGAGATGTCTCCATGGTGGGAGGTGTGTTTCCTCCCTGGTCCCTATTTTCCTGAGCATCCATTAGATAGTGCCTATCATGTGCAATCTGTTCTGAGCAGTAAGCAATTACAACACAGTCTCTGTTCCCAAGGACTATGGGGACAGGCAGACACACGATTACAATGTAGTATGTGACAGATGTTACCAGAGGGGTATGCTCAAGTTGTTAGGGAAGCAAGGAGGTATGGGGCGGGAGAGAGGTAAGGTTTAAGGAAGTCTTCATACAGAGGCGAAGACCTTGAGACTAGGTTGTCAAGTGTGAATAGGAGTCAGCCTAGTAAAGAAGGCAGGAACAAGTGTTCTATGTACACAAACCTGGAGTGCTACATAGTGACAAGCTAAAAAATGACACCCCCCATAAAAGATGTCTGCATACCAATTTCTGCAATTTGTGAGAACTGTCTTCCAAGAAGTCTACAAAATATTCATAGGAAATACATATTATGAGAAGACTGGGATGAGCAGTTGGTGTAATGGCTATGTCGCTTGACTCCCATGTAGTCAACCACGGTTCACGTCCTGGACCCAGTGGCTTAAACTCATGCAGGGCATGTGTGCGTGCATGTCCAAGATCCCAAGAGGAAATTGGAGAAGGGATTGCAGTGTGGCCATTCCCCCTGGGGGGTGATTTCTCACTTTCTGTTTCTCTGTCTGGTGAGCACACGTACCCTATAGCAAAAAGCTCTCAAAAAAAAAAAAAAAATCCTTGAAAGGAGGAGATTATCTGGTGGGCCTGAGGTAACCACAGGGTCCTTAAAAGACAGATGCAGTCAGATCACAGGAACTGTTGACATGAGGTCAAAGCAGAGACTGGAGTGATGTACTCTGGAGACAGAGGAAGGGGCCACAAGCCAAGGAATGAAGTGGCCCCTGGAAGTGGGAAACAGCAAGAACACAGATTCTCCTCTGGCAGCCCCAGAAGGAACCAGTCCTGCTGACACCTTCTCTTTCATCCAGGGAGGCTGGTTCTGGACTTGCGAACTCCAGAACTATAAAAGGGAATACACACATTATGTCAAGCCATGAAGTTTGCGGTAATTTGTGGTAGCAGCAACAGGAATCTAACACATGTAAGTTGTTTTCAGTGCTTCTTCGGAAGGTTCGAGAAAATGTCAGAAAAATAAAATGCATGAAGAGGCAGGCAGAGGCCAAATCAAGAAAGGATTCGTGCACCAGGCCATGTTTCCGTTTCATCCTCAACGAGGAGCTGCTGCTGAAGGATAATAGCAGAGAGAAGATCTGACAAGACTGTCTTGCTAGAGCACTGAATCGTCAAATTTTTCAATCTTAAGTCTTGGGAAATACCAGATGTCTAATTCTCCATTTTATTGACTCTCATTTCTTTTATCATACACTGTAATGACTTTATGAAAAACAGGAATAACCTATTGGAATATGTCACTTCATCTCATCCTCCAAATTCCACTCCAGAGTTTTCCAAGCCGTGTGCATCTAATCTGTAGGGCGGGATTTCGTGTGAGCATGTCTGTGCAGACAGCAGGATTGGAGTGGAAATCAGAAGTGTCCCCCAAAATCCTAACCAGATCATGGCCACAACCTAAAAAGCCTCATTCAAATGCCCCACTCTAACTCCACGAAGGAGGAAGGCAACTCACATTCGTGGAATGTGCACTTGAGGCCTGAAGCACTATGAACGTCGCATTGTGAACACTGCCTCACTGGGACCTCCAAGGATCCTTCTGGGCAGTACTTAGCAGCCAAGGACCCTGCAGAGATTCAGTCTGATTCCTCAGCACTGTGGTTGCTGAATGCCCACCCATGAGAGAGGCCCTGGCACAGACACCAGTCCATTTGCCTGCGGTCCATATAGACCTTGGCCCGGTCTGGCTACTACACAGAAAGTCCTATAAAGGCAACATTCCAGCCAGCACCTGGTCCTCCTTACCCACCCTCTGCATTGCTTCTTCCCTGCCCGCACACATGCAGGCACCTCTCATGGTCACATCTGGCTCTGCCTTGCCCAGTGTTGCTTGCTGTCAAAGGAACCACTTAGATGGCATCTAAGCAACCCCGGATCTGAACAAGCTGGGCCTGCTCTGGCACTACTGCTAGACCCCCAAGGCCACTGGCTGGACACAAAGAGGTTCCAAGGCAATGCCTTGGCTGTCACCAAAGAAGGGGATATACAGGGAGGCATGTCCAAGGAATGGGAAAATTTAGTTCAAATCCTTGTTTTGTACTTCACAGCAGTAAAACATTGGTCAAGCCACTCACTCTCAATCAAAACAGGGGGCTCCTGCCTTCACCATTGCTATGCTCCCCTCAGATGGAACACCCTACAGAAGGTAAATCATAGACACTTCCCAGGATCTGACCTTGCCCACAGCCAGAGAGGACCCCATGATGGTAAAACACCGAATGCCCAATGGCATGGGGCGAGTGCAGAGCCGTTAATTTGGAGCTATTTTAAACAGTGCTGTCATGAACCACATGGACAGAGTCTATGCCACCCCTCCCTGTTTTTGCTGTTCTTGTTAGACTCCATATTTGGGGACAGTACTTTCCTAAAAAATAACATCACAGGGCTGGTGTCATAGCGTGTCTGAGGGAGAAGTATCATGCATGGCTGACTGTAGTTCAAATCCCAGCCCCATCAGCTTGACAAATACACCAGATGTACATGCACGTGTGTCCAAAATCCTGACAGCTGGAGAAATGGAGAGGAAGGAATCACAGCATGACTATGCCCTATTATAAAATATTTCCCCCCTCTCTTTTTTCTCTCTCTCCATCTGGCTAGTATGCATGCCCTCCGACAATTAAAAAAACATAAAATAAAATCTTTGTGCTAAAGGGTGTATAATGGAACTAAAGGATAGGCCCAATTTACAGCTCTCAGGATGAACTGGCAGCTTAGTTTACAGATAAAGTGACATCGGTGCCACCAGCAATTCAGATCCAATAGTCATTGACCATGCCCCACCTCTGTTCTAGCACTGAACCAAGCATTTGACTTCTGATATCCTTTTTCAATATTATACAAGGCTCAGTTAGCCCCATTTGATTGATGAGGAACACAGAGTCATTCCAAGTAAAGTGACTTGCCCAAGGCAGAACAGTCATTTCGAGACAGGACTGGGAGAGGAATCAAAGTGCCGGAATCTTTCCGTTGGGTTGCATCTGCTGAATTATTCAGCTGTCTGCGTTACACCACGCTACCACAATGGCTTTCACTTATTACGGATAACCATAAGCAGGGCTCAAGCCTGGGTGCTTGATCACAGACACTACCACATTCATCCGCGTCTATGAGGCAGTGATCGTGAAGATGTTGCTGATAAAGAAATGAGCACCTCTGCTATTAAATGCTTCGTATGTCTGAGGCATTGTGCAAAGCACTTACCTTCGTGTATTATTTTAGACAGAAAATTCTATGAGCTAGCATAAACATGCCCAGTTTACAGATTTAAAAACTAGAGCTCAGAAGAAGGACCTCCCCCCAAGAGCTCTATGGATTATAAATGGAAAATGCAGCCATGAACAAACGGATGTGAACACTCGGCTGTCTCCAAAAGCTAAACACATAATGACAATGCTGGGGGGGGGGACCCTGACAGCACCACCAGATGGGTGGCAAGAAAGGTTTCTAAAGACATAAGCAAAATCAGCATTCCATTTTGGTTTGTCTCCCCCACGACGTGCTGGCTGGCTGTGTGTAGTTTGATCGGCGCTGTGTTAGTTTCAGCCTCATCGGGCTGGCTTCCTACAATCGCCATTCTCTTCTAAGGGTTGTTTCCCTTTATAGCACACATGGCTCACCAGGCTCAGCCCACACGCCAGCACGGGCTCCAGCTCACCGCCCCCAGTGGCTAAGAGGGGAAGCTCCCTCCCTGGGGCACCATCTGCAGTGCAGAGGAGGAACCAGAGAGGTGAGAGCTCCTAGAAAGCACCAGAAGCAACTGATATAAGGGGAAGGTCTCGGGTGAGAAAAAAAGCCACGGGTTCAAGTCCCAGCTCTGCCCATAATTCAGGTGTGACCTGAGACAAGTCAGTCCTGGGCTCATGAAGACTACTAAAATTGCAACACATGGCCGACTATGGAGGTACAGCTGTATCACAGTGCACTATGATGCTGAAGTTGCAAGGGAAGGCCCCAGGTTCACATCCCAAGGTCTCCCTGTGCACATTGGGAACCTGGCAGGATTTTGGGTGTGTGACTCTGATCCTTGCTGACTGAGACTGTAGGCAGATGACAGCAGACAGGCCCCGTTGAGGATGGCTCCCTTCTTCCTCTCTCTCTCTCTTTCTCTCTCTCTCTCTCTGTGTGTCTCTGTCAATCTCATTCATGGAAGAAAGAAATAAACTTCTAAAAATTTATTAAAACAAATAACTTGATGCAATTTTGGACTGCTCCTGGAATAAGAGGAGGTTGATTGATTCTAGTGGAGACAGGCTGAGTAGGAATAGCCCCGCAGCACAGCAGTTAAGGGATCCGTGCATCCCATATGGCTGAATACATTTAGAATTGTAGCCTGGCAGCTTGAAAACATGCCAGGTGTATGTGTGTGCCCCAAATCCAAAAGGGATGGAGAAATGGAGGAGAAAGGATTGTGGTGGGACCACACCCTATAGGGAGGTGCTTTTCTCTCTTTCTCTTTCTCTGGCACACACACACACACACACACACACACACACACACAGATGGAATAGCTTTTTTTAAAAAAGAAATGATTCAGCAAATCGATACAGAAGATTCCTGGACTCCAAATCATTTGCATAACTAATGTACCATCTTGGAAGTTCTTTTTCTCAAAACGCATCCCTGGGATTGGATCTTTGCTGCCTCAAGGCAGCTACCATCGCAGATTCTTCCTGATCTGTAGCAGCTCATATCCTGGCTCCAGCCAGAAAAGAAATCATTTTCCTCATCATCAAGTAGGAATTCTACCAATCTCTAGTAGATCAGGAATTGGCATACAAGACCAACTCCAGCTGAATACTGTTATAACTAATAAAGAGATGGGCGGAAGAAGGGGGAAAAGCACTCTGGTTCCCCCTCTCACTGCCATCACACTAGCTAGATCTGCCGATTGCTCAAGGGAGACATCCTGGGACCACCCCTGCCCTGGCACAAGAAGCCTGATCATGTTTTTATGTGACCGTCAATAAAATACGGGGAACGCCCAGGTCGTTAGGGGAAGCATCAGGTTATACATAACAAAATCCATACCATCAATCCACTCTGGCTTGTCAGGGGTCCTCTTCATTGTACCTTAGGAAGTCTCCTGGTGTTAACAGCAGGCAGTGGTTCTAGGGTCCCTGTTGCAGGTGTTATGGCTACACGTGCAGTGCGCAGCTAAGATTTCCAAGTACACAGGACCCCAGGCACATGTGCACCATGCCCTTGTCCTTCCCCACTCACTCTGGCTTCCCAGTCAGCCCGTAACTGTGCACTCCTGCTCCCAGTTTTCTGGAATCAAAAGGACTTTTTTAAAACATCCAGCTGCTTTAGAAAAGGGTCAAGTTGTAAATTCCCTACTTGGCCCTGTCTACCTGCAAAGAGACAGATAAGTCTGGGAGAAGTAAAAAGAAAGAGAGAGAGTGAAGAGAGAAAGAAAGATTTGATTTCTCATTTTAGTTTCCAGATGGAGCTGCCTCCCACAGGCGACCCACACAAGCAAGCAAGTGGCTGATATTACTGTTGTGATCTCAGTAGTGCTGCAAGGGCCCTGGGGATGAGCACCCCCATAAAAATCAACAAGGGAGAGCACGTCTGAGACAGCCAGAAGAAGAGAAACCGGGGAAGCAGAGTGTACCAAGCCCTGGCGATGTCTGCAGAATCACCAAGCACAGACCTGCAGAATGCACATCCGTGCACACATGCTCACTGTACTGAGCCAGGGGCTCCGAGAGGCAGAAGTTATTTGACAAGGGGATGAGCTGCAGAGAAAGAAAAGGCTCCTGGACAATTTTTTTAAAGTTTATTTTAATTCATTTATTTCTTCCATGAGAAAGAGAGAAAGATAGCACCATCAACAGATTCTTGATACTGCAGTCTACCCTCAGCATACTCAGGGAGGTCTCCAGACACAAACTTCGAACCTCGCCATGTGGATCAGCCTCGCAGAGTGTCATCTCTCACCACTGTGCCACTGTCCAGCCCACCTTGGCCATTTTTAGGATGATATCCCAGGGTTAATCAATCACATGTCCTGGAAGGGAACGCAGTATATTCAACCAGCCCTCCTACTGGTACATGCTGGTCTCTGCAGACTGAATAGAACTGCTGACACCCAATCGAGCTGCAATTTTGAATAAAAGAAAATCTAATTAAGATGACTGTGTACTAGGGCTTGATTCTGTCTATGGGGACAAACTTCCATGGAAGATAGTTGTGATAGCCGATGTGTACAAAGGCCCAGATAGAAACTCCAGCCTAAACTAGTCTGACTTGGTTTTGTTAGGATTCCTCCCATGTGTGACATGCTTTAACACAGGTACTACATGCTTTCTTGTGTCATTCTATCTCTTTAGGGGACTGTCACTGCATTAAGTTGCTAGGGCTGCCATTATGAAATACCACAGACACACATGTGTGGCTTAAACAACTAAAACTGATTTGCTCAGAGTTCTGGAAGATGAAGTCCAAGATCAAGAGTACCAAGGCTGGTTTCTTCAGAGGTTCCTCTCATTGGCTGTCTCCTTCCAGTGTCTTCATTTGATTTTCTATCTGTGAGAAAGTCCCTTGTCCTAATCTTTTCCTCTTATGAGGACATTTAGTCATGTTGAATTGGGTCTACCCCAGTGTCCTCATTTCACCTGAATTACCTCTGTAAAGACCTTATCTCCAAATACAGTCACATTCTGGAAGACAGGGAGTTAGGTCATCAACAGATAGATAGGGGTGTGGGGGGCCATCAACACCTACAATTCAGCCCATAGCAGTCATCCCCATCTTTATACAGCTGAGAAAACTGAGATACACAGAAAATAAATGAATTCTCAAAACCCATACCACTAGTATATGACAGAACTTGAATTCAAATCCTAAACTTCAGGGCCCTGAAAACATGACCTCATCATTCCACAAAGGTGCCTTGAAACAGTGAAGTAGCTGGAGTCAGTACTTGTTTTACAGATAAGGGAGTCAAAGCTCAG